GAGTGGGAGGGGAACCGCCCTGCACCCCTGCCCGTCTATTTGTGGACTCTTTTTGACAAGCATATTTCTAGACGGATCTTCTCCTCGCACAGTAAAATTCATCCAATATCGCTCGTTTCCATCTTCGGGAGAAGGTCTCACATGTCAGTATTAGAGCATGAACCACCCCCGCCGGTGTTTGCACAGTGGATGGGGCGGGTGGCGGGGAGGAGTATGTCGCGCGTGGAAAACTCCTGGTGTCAAAGTAGCCGCGGAACTCGTGGCTCGAGCGGAAAAACACGGCCTCGTCCCCCTCGCTGGACACAGGGGCAATCACGATACTCAGGCTGAGGTCGATATGGGTCGGAACCGGGCCGGGACCCCCGCGAACCCGCGGCTCCGGATCGCAGAGGGGCGGGGGGGGGGCGGCGGCCGCGTGGGGACGGGGCCGGCGGCAGGAGGGTCGCCGCCCCGGCCCGCAGGCAGCCCCCGCCGCCCCCCCGCCCCCCGCCCCCCGCGGCCGCCGCCCCAACGCGCCCCCCGCGCGCCCCCCGCGCCCGCCGCCGCCGCCCCGCGCCGCGCCCCCGCCCGCCGGCCCCCTCCCCCGCCGCTTCCTCTCGCTCTCCCAGCCCCTTCCCCCCACGTGTGGGTGACGTCAAAATTCCGCGAAAAAGCCGCGTGGTGGCTCCCCGAGCAGAGGCGCGATTCCGCCGCCCAGCGGCCCCCTCCCGGGCGCGCCGGGGGAGGGCGAGGCCCCGAGACGGCCGGTTCCTTTTCCTCCGGGGAGGCCGGGCCCCGCCGACGCCGCGGGCCAGGCGCCCCCCGCCCCAAATCTCACTGGAAAATTTACTTGTATAAAGCTCATGCATTTCCAGGGCTATTTTCGGCCTCGCGAGGCGTGTCCTGCAGCTGAATCAGACAGGAAGAGGGGGAAGCTTGGGTCTTTTTATTTTTTATTTTTTTTCTCCAAGCGAGGGGAGTGCGACGCTAGGTGGGTGCGCAGACGGCAGGCGCTCGCCTTCCCGACCCACGCCGACCGCATCTGCCGCCTCCGGCACACAGCCCCGGGCCGGGCTGAAACGCGCCGAAAGGGCGGTCTGCACGCGCAGGCCGGGCCGCCGCGGGACCCCGAGCGCCCCAGAGCGGCGACGGGCTCCCGGAGGCCTGCTCACACCTGGCGTCGCGGGCCCGGCCGGCGGGAAGCCTTCCTTTGGCCCGTCCCCGCCTGCCGTCCGTGCCTCGTGCCCTCCATCCCGACCTGCCTTTTTCCCCTCGCGCGTTTTTCCGGTTCACGTTCGCTCCCTTCTTGGGACCCCGCCGCCCTCCCCCAATTTCTCCTTCTGTGCCTTCTCTAGTTCTTTTCTGGGGTCCCGGGAGCCAGGGGCTGAGACCGGGACACTTGCCATCTACTTTTAAGTAACCGTCGGGGTTTTGCTTTGCACTGTCTGGTCATCCCCCAATAGAGAGACACAGACACAGCGCTAGTCTTCGGAGAACTTAGGGAGAGGGCGGTGGTCCCGATTCCCAAGCCTGAACTCCCTCCCCCCCCCCCCGTCCCGAGCGCCCCTGCGCGGAGGCAGCCGGGCTCGAACTCGCGCGGCTTTGAAGCTTTGAGCCGACAGCGTGATCACCTGGCCTGCGGGCATCTGCCAGGTGAGCTTGGGAGCTTGTGTGCTTAGCGTTTGCAGGCTCCTGCAGAAATGTGCTATAAACACCCAACACCAGGCTGCACCCTACACCTACAGGGTTTTGTACACTTTCCAACCGAAACTCCAAAACCCGAGGAAAGGGGGGTGGGGAGTCGGCACGGGAGGGAATAAAAGTCCAATAAAACTTATGTTCACTAAAGTTTATCACTGATCCTATAAAGGGCAGGCTTTTTTTTTTTTCCTTGAGGGATAAGGAAAAACCAACATTATTTTCCCCCTTTTTCCCACAATGACCAGTTCTGACTTAAAATTAAGAGCACAGGAGTTTGAGGTTTTTTTTTTTTCTCTTAACCTGAGTCTATACTCAAAGAAAATGTGCACGTCTGCCCAGAAGGCAACGTGCCTTTTCCCGCGTGCTAGGCGCAGTGCTTTTTAACAAGCAAAATTACGGTTTTAACACATGGTCGGAGTGGCGACCGAAAGGGAAAACTCGGTTTCCAGTCCAAGCCTCCGGAGACATTCCTGCCAACCTCCGCACCCTCTCCCGCCCCACCCCGCGCGTTGGAGACTGAAACCCGACTGGGGGACGGCTCCGATGCGAGGTTAATGTTCGGGAACAGTCCGTAATAGGAAGGGGAAGTGAATGGGGGAACTTGAAGAGGCGAGCCTGCCACGCGGGAAGCGTCCGTACTCGCGGGTCTGGGTGAATGGAGCGGCCACCGGGACAGGGGGCGTCCCCCCGCGCCCCTCCCCTTTGCAGCTCCAGCTCCCCCAGCCCCGCGCCCCGCCGGAATTTCTCCGGGAGGCCAGTCCCGGGCAGGGGCGGGGGGCACAGGGGAGGGAAGGGGCGAGCGGGCCCTCGGCTCGCCTCTGTGATTTGAGCCGTCGCCACCCAGGCTCTCTCCCCAGGGTGGGCCAGGCCGGGAGGACCACCACCCGCCTTTGCCCCTCCCCCCTCCTCCCCATTTCGGGAGCCCCAGGGCTGGGGATGCTTTCCCTGCAGAGAGGTGGAGAAAAGACCGTACTGAATTAGTTATCAAGGGATGTAAAGAGGCTGGAAGCCTTCGCCGACTTCTGTCCTTGCCTGTCGGGCTAGATTTATACTTTAAAAATACCTCTCACCCCCCCCCGCGCCCCCCCCCCACACACCAGCTTTCTTTGAACCGCTCATAGGTGGCTGAGGTAAAGTTTGAGTAATTCCTTTATGGGGTCTTAAAACGTAAGTTAATGTATTTATCCGGAGTGACTCAAGCATGAGTCGGAAAGTCCAAGTTGACTAAAATCAATAGGTAATTGTTAGGGACCGACTCTCTTCCGAGGAGCGCTGTACTCAGCCGGAGTGTCATCCGCTGCGCAGGACTGTTTCACTTTGAGTTGCAACTTGGGTTTCTCAGGGAGCTTTTTTCTTCCCGAAAGCTAATGGCTTCCACAGCAATTAGACTTTTTCTTCGCCGCCCCCTTCCCTCCCCTTTCTTTACCTACGGTAGATTGGACCCTAATTCCCTCGGCCATTGATAAGGTCGCAGGCGCCCCGGCCTCTCCCCAGCCCTCGCCCGCCCCAGTCCCCGCGCTCCCTCCGCCCTCCCTTGGCTTCCTTTTGATGTAGCGGGGAACGCGTCCTACTAAAAAAAAAAAAAAAAAAAAAAAAGAAAAAAAAAAAAAAGAAAAAAGTAATCTGCCCGGTAACAATCAGCGCGCAGTAGCAGGAGCCCCAGAGCTATTGGCTATGCAAATAGAGGGAGGGGAGACGGCGCCCCAAACTCTTACTCACCCTTTTAAAGCGATATCCCCCCCTTCCCCCCCACCCCTTCCGCCCCACCCTCGTTTAAAGGGGCTGGCCTCGGGGCCTGAGTTAATCGCTAGCACCTCTGGTTTATTCACTCCCCGCCTTCTCTATTCCACTCCCCCCGCTCCTTTCAGGGAACCGAGTGTACAGCTCACCCAGCCCCCCTTCCCCGCTAGCTCTCCACACCCCGGTTCGGGCCCCCGGCCTCCGCGAAGGAGGTGCTCGGTTGACCACGGTGTGTCCCGAGCCCTGACCCACGCCATGCTCCCTGCACGTGCCAGCTCCGCCAACTTGCCGGGGGCGCTGGGCTCTCTCCCCTTCCCCCCCAAGTGAAATTACACTGAAACCCGGGGGGGGGGCGGGGGGGAGGAAGAAGGTGAGGAAACGCCACCATATCCCCTGTAAAAGCAGCCTTGACCCGGGGATGCGTTAGAGCACATGTCAGAGCCGACTGCGCTGGCAGCGTCCCCACCGCAACCCGGCTCCCGGGGAGAAAGCCCTGGCTGGCGGGTGAGGCATGAACCCGGAGGGGTCGGCGAGGATGCCAGCGAAGGACACAGGATGGAAGTCTCGGGCCTCCGCGGAAAGGAAGGGGTGGTGGTGTTTGCGCAGGGGGAGAGAGGGGGAGCCAAACCTAATCCCTCCCTCGCCCCCCTCTCCTCCCCTCCCCCTCCCGGGCTATTTCCTAGAAAGCTGTATCAGTGTGGCCACGCTCGGCGCAGACACCTCGGGCGGCTTGTCAGCAGATGCAGGGGCGAGGAAGCGGGTTTTTCCTGCGTGGCCGCGGGCCGCGGAAGAACCGATGGTAGCCCTGCCCCCCCCCAGCCTGCGGCAGCCCAGACCTCTTCTCTCCTGCTCCCCATGGCGCCTGTAGCGCCCCCAAGAAGGGGAGGGTTTCTGCTTCAGGGTCACATTCTATCACGTCGGAGAAGCCGCCCCCTCCCTCCTAACACCCACCCCTTCCTCTCCTTCCTCTTCGCACACACAGGCGGGGTGGGGTGGGGGGGCGTTGTTCTGGCCCCTTTAATCGGGCTTTTGAAACAGCCCAAAGTGATCCAGGAGCTCAAACGTCCGGGACTGAATCTTTATCTCTGGATATCCGAGGTTGCTATTTTCTAAAATCGCCCTCCTTATTCTTCACTTAAGGGATCTGCTTCTAAATTGCAGGAGCCCACCCCATCTTCAAGTGATCCACTCGTCATTCTCGGATCTTACATGCATGGGCAGGAATGGAAAGGTCAATTTTGAAAAAGCCAAAGTTGGAGGGTCGTATTTTGGCACGATACGCCCACAGAATGTGCGAAATTAGAGGGAATAAGTAGGAATCGGTGGGGTTTTTTTGTGGGTTCCCCTATTCGGGGCCCCTGGCATGCAGGGCTGGATAGAGGGAAAGGGCCTCGGAGAGCTAAGGAGAGGGGTGGGGGGGCGGGGGACCGCGTTTGAAGTTAGGTCGGGCCAGCTGCTGTTCTCCTAAATAACAAGAGGGGAAAGGGAGGGAGGGACGGAGAGATTGAAAGGAGGAGGGGAGGGACGAGAGGGGAGGGAAGGGGAGGAGGAACCGGAGAGGGGAGCGAGGCGAGAGGGAGGAGAACTAACTGCCCAGCCAGTTTGCGTCACTGCCTCGCAGAGCAGAGAAGAGCGAGCAGGGGAGAGTGAGACAAGTTTGAAGGGGAGGGCAGGCAGAGTTAGCAGCCCCCGAGGCTCTCCTCTCCCACCGCCCTTCCCTCTCCTCTCTTCTCCCCAGCCTCTGTCTCTCTCTGCCCCATAACTTTTCTCTCGAAAACCCCCTATTTAGCCAAAGGAAGGAGGTAAGGGGAACCCTCTCCCCTCCCCCCTTCGAAACCCCCCAACTTTTCCAGTCCGGAGAAAGCAGGGGAGCGAGCGGGTACCCGACTGGCCATGGAGCTGCTGTGCTGCGAGGTGGACCCGGTCCGCAGGGCCGTGCCGGACGCCAACCTGCTCTACGACGACCGCGTTTTGCAGAACTTGCTCACCATCGAGGAGCGCTACCTTCCCCAGTGCTCCTACTTCAAATGCGTACAGAAGGACATCCAGCCCTACATGCGCAGGATGGTGGCCACCTGGATGCTGGAGGTAGGTCTGCAGACGGACTCCGTCTGTCCCCACCCGGATAGACGCCCACACTCCCCACCCCCGCCCCCAGCGCAGGGACCCTAAAACTGGGAGATGGCAGGATCCGCGCTCGCCTCCGCACTCCCGCGCGCGAGGTTACCCCGCGCCCTTTGGCGAGACGCGTGGCTTCATTTCTGTTCCCTGCAGGATGCTAGAAGAACTGGGGGAGGGGAGGGGGGGAGGAGGAAAATCTGGGAGAAACGAGACTGTCCTGGGGCGGGGGTGGGGGAGCATCCCGCGCGCGTGTGCCTGCATGTGGCTGCCTCTCCTTCCCACCCCCATCCTGATCTGTCTTTTGCGAAGCTGCGGCTGCTTTCGGTGCAGTGAAGATGGGAGTGGGAGCGTGGAATCGGGGCCCCAAAGTAAAAAAGAGCAGCCCCCCAAAGGCCAGAGCAAAATCGTCCTAGCCTCAGGTCCCCGCATGTGGTTGCGACTCCGCGTTGGCACTTGGGGGGGGGGAGGGGGGAGGAGAGAGGAGGAGAGAAACGGAGAATTCAGGAGCCCCGGAAGTCGCAATGAAGAAACGTGTGTTTTAGGGGAACCCAAAAGAACCACTTCTTTACCCTTGCTCCAAATCTTTGCCGAGCGAGCCGTGTGCCCACGTATGCACGGCTCTGGACCTGCCGTGGTTTCGCCATGTTGCTTTGCAAACTCCGGCTGGAAAGGCTGGAAAGCGTTGCCCGCTCGCCCCCCGCACCCCGTTAGCCCGCCCCCCCCCCCACTTGCAATAGTACCCTCTCCCCCAGCCCCCACCTCACGAAGGTTACTTACAGTTTGGCTTTCCAGTTTTCTCGGTGCGGAGATTTGGGTGGGGTAGGAAGGGGGGAGGAGGTGTGTGTAGGGGGGATGTCGGGGCGCCCCTAACGGAGAGGTCAGAGCCCCCGGTGCTCTCCCGCGGCGCCCCGCTCCTCGCCTTTCCCCCGGCTCCTCACCACCGTCCCCAGTTTCTGCCCTTGCGGGCCGCAGCCGGACGGACACTCCCGCCGCGGCGCTCACCCCTCCAACTTTCCCCTCGGGATCCAAAGCCCCAGGGGTTGAGATACAGACCTTTCCGGCACCCGAAATCTCCGTTTCGGGAAGCCTGGTTCCTCTGTGGGGTTTTCACGCCAAAAGGGCTTTTCTAGGATATTTCCTCGATTTTTAATTATTTTTTGAAACCGTCTCCCCAGGCTCCGAGTCCGCCGCCGAGGCTGCGGCTCTTCCTCTTCTCCTCCCTCCCCCCTCTCTTCCCCACCTCTCCCCACCCACCCCCCCAATAGCGGCGCCTGGGCCGCAAGGACGCCCCCGGACATTTTTTTCAATTGTCGGGAATGATAGAGCAGGGTCCGGGGCTCCGAATGAGACCAAGAAGAAGACCCCCGGAGCCTCCAGAATATTTTTATTGATTTTTTGAAAAGATGACGAAATCCAAAAAAGAGAGTGTGAGTGAGTTAGAGGGAGCAAAGAAGTCAGTAGCCAAAGGGAGCGTCGCCGAGCCTGGCGGCTACTGCGCATTTGTTTGCCTCCTCGGTTCGGATCTTGAGTTCACCTCTTTCTTACGTTCCTGGGGAGTACCCCAGCACCGACCATTTAGATTTACCCCGTTTTCCTCATCTTTATTCTTATCACATAGTCTACTCCCCTCCCCCTCCCCGCTGAAAAATTAAATATTTTTGCTTCTTTCCATAGGTTATGCCTTTTCATTTCTTTTTTTGTGTATGTGTGTTTTCCTGATATTCTTCCCTCCAACCACCCCCACCCAACCCATTCCCGCTCCCATCTTAGGTCTGTGAGGAACAGAAGTGCGAAGAGGAGGTCTTCCCTTTGGCCATGAATTACCTGGATCGCTTCTTGGCCGGGGTCCCAACTCCTAAGACCCATCTGCAGCTCCTGGGTGCTGTCTGCATGTTCCTGGCCTCCAAACTTAAAGAGACTATCCCTCTGACCGCAGAGAAGTTGTGCATTTACACTGACAACTCCATCAAGCCTCAGGAGCTGCTGGTAATGACAATCTCCTTTCTATTCCTCCTTCCTTCTTTGCTCTCTCCAGGCCTGGGGAGCTTCTAACTCCTGCTCCCCAAACAAATCCTTTGGATCCCAAATTACCACACTGCTGGAATTTTCACACTTCCCAGAAATAACGCTTTAAATACGAATTTTTTTGTGTTCCTACTATGTGCCAGGCACTATACTAAGCACTGAGGCTACATCCAGGAATAAGATACCCAGATACCCCAAGACATTTGTTGTGTCGGTGAAATTCAATTACAGTTGTGTCTGCGTGTGTGTGTGTGTGTGTGTGTTTGTGTGTGTTTGTGTATATGTGTGTAGGGGAAACCTGGAACACAGTGATAACATTTTAATTAAATTCAAATTCTCATCCACTGAATTCTAAGAAAATAGTTCGACTTCTCACATGGTAGGAATGTGCCCACATGATAGGAGTGTGTTGTTCTGTGTGTCCTAAGAATCTACAGTTCAAAGGTAACATCAATGGATAAACTCTCAAGATACCTGTACATAGTAGCTGTTAACTAAATATCAGCTCATTGACTTTGGAGCCAAGTCAAAATTTGGCCTTTTTATTGGAGGAATCTGAAGCCTGGGTTCCTAGCTCCAGCGGGGCTGTGACCTCTTTGCCATGACAAGGGTCCTGTCTTGACTGGTTTTCTGGCAACAAACCTTTTTCCCACCCAGTCTAACTCTTTTTCCCTGCAGCTTCGCACTTAAAAGCGTGTCCATGTTGCGGCAGTGTGGTTTGGGAGAGTGGCACCCAGGCCCACCAGGAGTGGTGCGCGCACCTTTCTCTGCGCTCTTTGCAAAGGGGCCCCCCTCTAGCTGCCCCTCCCCCTCCGGACTGGCAAGGCCTGCCCGAAGTGAAGTCCGTAGGGCCGGGGCTGGCTGCTAGAACGGAGCTCTTTGTGAGGGGCCTTCCTTTCTGGGGCTGGGCTGCCATCTAGTGGCAGACATGTGCAAGGTTGGGGGAGGAATTGCAGGGAATGCAGAGGGGCCTGAATGACTTCACCTTTGAACCGCTGCCAGATTTCAGCTGCTTCTGGTTTGGTCCGGGAGGCCCAGAAAGGTGCTTTCTTCTGGGAGATCTGCTTCCTTTAATAATAGTACAAGACGAGTGGTTTACACTCGCATTCCCCTGCGAGAAGAAAGGGCTGGAATTTCAAGCCATCTTAGAAGACACTGGTGGTTTAGTAATTTTATCTTTTTTTTTTTCCCCTCCACCCCAACGTCCTGTAAAAAGCCAAAGCCAACATTATAAAGCATGTAAAGGAAAGTTTGTTAGAATTCGTTGCCAGTTTGCTTTTCCTCATGGGAGACCAGGAGAATGAGTCTTCCATGTGGTTCATTTGTTTCAGTGTGATGGTGGGCCATGGTGTTCTTCAGGACACCCCAATTTTTCCAGGACCAGCCAAGCTAACTAATACTGTTCCTCCAAAACGCTGCCTTCCACACACCCCCCCCCACCCATTCCCCATCTATTTATCCCCAAAGCTGGGATCTGGAGGAGTCCTCATATATGCCCAGTGAGGGAGAAAGGAGGCACCCCAAATCACACAGCCACTTAGTGCTGCAAGAGGGGGGCTGGGGCTCTGGTTGCTGGCTTAGCAAATGGGAGATAGCCTGGGGGCTCTTAGGGCAAATGGGGGAGCAGGGTGCACAGGCAGGCAGGTCTCCACCATTCATTCTTATGAAGGCATGAATGGATAGGCCCATTTTCCCTCTGATTGCACATATTCTTAGGGTTTCCTTTTTGGCTTGGTTTACCTTGAGCACAATTCTCCAAATGCATCCCAGTAAGGGAGAAAAGAGGTTTCTCACGAGGTGGGCTGGTGATGAGAAGCCCTTGAGAGATGGGGGTTGCACTGGCCACCCTCAGCTTTGAACGGAGGGATTCCGTGACCTAGTACAAGCGCTTTCACTTTGCCCCATCACCTCTAGCTGCAACATGGGGTTGCTAGTGACCCTCTGGTGGGTCCTTTAGTCATGATGACAAAGGCCTATGAAGCTTTTAGGTGAAAGGGCACTCTGTGGCTGCGTGTCCTTTTCCCAAGACTTCTGCATTATTTGTAGAGGGGAAAGTTTTAAAGCAGAGAGAAGTGGCGCTTTCTGGCACCAGCTACAAGTAAGCTAATTGGTTGCCAAGGAGTTGGGCCCAGGAACCTTATTTTGAGCTTTATCTGTGTGCATCATTTTTGCCCCGAGGATTAAAAAGACTATTAATCCAGCGGTAGAGACACAGACAATAAATTACTACCTAAGGGCCACAATGACCTTGGCAGTATCTTATTGTAGGTTCAGCCTTCCGGATGGGCAGGCAACAGTACTGTTTGGAGGTTGGGATTGGCTGGGAGCGGGGAGCCAGACAGGAAAAGAAATGGCAGAAAGTAGAATCTTGGCAACAGCCACCTGGGCTCTCATTATTGCCCAGCGAGCCTGACACTGGAAGCCTAAGGAGATGTCAACAACTTCCAAGCTTTGGGGGTGGGGGAGGTACTGGGACAAATGGGCCCACCTCACCATCCCACAGCGTCCAAATGAGTGTCTTTAAAACTGGTCTGGATCCCCAATCCCAGTCCTGGGACAACAACAGGTCAGCCTCTGGGTTTTATACTTTTCTCTTCCTCCCTCCCTCATCAGGAGTGGGAGCTGGTGGTGTTGGGGAAATTGAAGTGGAACCTGGCCGCCGTAACCCCTCACGACTTCATCGAGCACATCCTTCGGAAGCTGCCGCAGCCGAGTGAGAAATTGTCTCTGATCCGCAAGCACGCGCAGACCTTCATTGCTCTGTGTGCCACCGGTAGGAGCAGGCCACAGTGGGGGGTGGGGGGTTTGGGGGGGTCGGGGGTCCTGGGGGAGTGGAAGCACACCCAGGCTGAAGAGTCCTTTTGGAGGGGGTAGTCAAGGGGAGGCAGCCTGGGGTACTACCTGGCATGGGCTTAAGAGGTTTAGGCGATAGGTGGTCCCACTAACCTAGACTACCAGGTTTCATGCCTGGGCTATTTTATTTACTTTATCTGAGCCTGGTACATTCTTTTTCTCCGCTCAACTTATAAATGGTTTATGAGGACGGGTGTGGTAAGGGAAAAAAAATAATGCCTGTTAAAATATTCTTTATGATGTCTAAAGTGCTCTTTGAAGATTATATGTACTGCTCTCTGGTTGTGTTTAAATCTTTAATCTTTTGAGGAAAAGGATGGTTTGGAGATAAGCCCAAGAGGAACTTTGGGGGGTGGGGGCAAATATAGGTTAAAAGAACACTGTCAAGATAAATTCGCTCCCTGCCCTGATAAGCAATAAAGGGAAGGCCGGAGGAGTTCTTTCTACTGTGGGGCACATACATGTAGCTGTTCCCTCTGCTGGATGGGGGAGTAAACCTGGCTGGCTCTCAGCAAGGACTCACGTTCTGAGCACTGAGTTTTGATGCACTCCTTCAAGTGCTGGTGTTTTGATTTTGGTTGCAACCTTTCACACGATAGTCACAACTGGCTTTTTCTTATGAAGAACTTTCCACCCACCATGTTGGTCCTACAATTGATACATAGTTCTCACTGGCCCATATGCTTTGCATTTCTCTAATAAACTAAAGGCAGAGGGTTGACAGGTCTCCTTAAACTGAACCTGGGCCAGTTTCTACCTTTTTTTTTTTGGTAGTGGCCATGGGAGAGACCCTGGGGCCTTAATCATCCAGGGGAGAAACGTCATAGAACCAACCATCTGGGCAGATCATTTGTTTGGGGATGGGGGGTGGGGGGAGGAGTGGGGAGGGGTGGGGTGCAGAGGGTTCATCCCAAGGTTGCCAAGAGTTGTTGAATTTTATAGTTGGGACTCTGGGGCTAACTTTTTTCTAATACCTTGTTACATGTTACTCGTGAGTAAATACAGATGGATCACACAGTAGGCAAGAGTGTATATGCTCTGTTTTCGGTCAAAAGGTCAGACTTTGCTACTTCTCACTGGATGACTTTGGACAGGCTGCTTCACCTTTGTGAACTTCAGCTTCCCTCTGCAAAACCCACCTGTGGATGCACGATCTTAGGGCCTTTTCAGGGTGGTTGGGAAAACTAAACTCAGAAAGGAGGCACTTTGTGAACCGAGGTGGTACCGATTGTGCACGTGTCTCCATCTCCCACTTTTAACTATTCCCATTGCCTTCATCCTCCGCCGGCAGAACCCCTTGCTCTGCCTTGACTGGCTTTGAATGTAGGATTTCTAGACATCCACAATTGATCCTAGAGGGGCACAGGTTTTGTTCTACTGGTTTGCTGTAGTCCTGCCCTTCCCAATCCAGGCGGTCCCATGGCATGTGTATGCATCCTGTGCCCCTTTGTGGGAGGGTAAACTGCCCTTCCTGCAGCCCTGAGGGGGCCATTCTTCAGAGCCCCCGTGGATACCTTGCTGCCTTTTAGACAGTCACCATTCTTTTGCTTCCTCTCTTCTCCTGCTGTCTGGCCTGGGGCCCTAGAGGTCAGTCCCTCATTGACTTGTCATTTTGTCTCCCAGGCCCTGCTGTCCCTTCCTCTCCATTGTCCTGATTCACTGTGGGGGAGGGGTCAACCAGTCCTTTTTTGCCTCTGGCCCTAGGACGGCTGACCCCCTGACCCTTAGCTCCCCCATTGCCCAGCTGTTAGCCAGAGTTCTGCTTTGACCTTGTCTCTTGACTGACAGATCTTTTAGGGTCTGTCCACCCATCCCTCCATTCTGATCTCTGATTGGGATAGAGATGGTGAGTGGAATTACCCAGGCATGGGCAGATCCCCAGATTCTGTAAAGGCCCATTCTCTCAAATTGGGGATCCCATCCCCCACTCTGGCCTTCCTTCCTAGATCCTTGACGTGGCTGCCAACTCCAAGGCCAGAGTAGGGAACACGGAACTCAGGCACTGAAGACAAGTCTAAGGGGTGGCATGGGAAGTCACAAAGACTGCCTTCTGGGAGACCGGAGCTAACTTTGGACAGGAAATGAGGAAAGATAGAAGGAACAACTCCAATCTAATGAAAACCACAAGTCAAGTACTAAGCCTTAGGTGTGGACTGGTCAGGGTGAGAGAGGGGTTCTCACAAGTTTTCAGAATCTGGGAAGGAGGGCTGTGTCTCACAAGGCTTTTCTTTCTCGATGGGTGCTTGAGTCTGAATGACTGAATTACATAGCATCCTTACTGTGTGGAGTTTTATAGCAGTTGTCCTGACAGTATAAAAGCCAAGGGCTGTTTTTCTTGGAGGACACATCTTCCAGTTAGATGCTGCCTTTTGGGGGCCCGGGTGTGACAAATGGTTGAGTGCCTGAGGCCATCTGGCAAGTAGTAAGTGCAAAGGGACTGAGAACCAAAGGTAGGTGGTGATGGATGCGGAGATCGTCCTTTCTGCTCCTTGTGTCTCACACTATTGTCCTGGTCCCCTAGTCCTCAATATTCTGCCTTGAAGCCCAGCAGACACCTGTAGCTGGGGTTCTGCAGGCCTACAGCGGGTCCTGAGGACAGGGTAGCCGACCCTTAAGGCTGTGTGGCTAGTTTATGGGAAAAGTTGGTTGTGAAAGAGCTGGCAGTGGTTCCCTAGTCTGTGCGGGGAGTGCATGTGTGTGTGTGAAAGGGGAAGAGAGAGCAGGAGAGCAGAGAGGGGCCGTGAGAAGGGGAGCGGAGCTGCAGTTTTCCTTTCTGGCCAGAGGGTAAGATGGTGGCAAGGCGGCGAGGTGCCCTCCTTCCCCCTCCCTCCTCAGCTCAAAATGGCTTCTAGGGGGAAAGACTGCCTAAGACTGTGCACAGTGTCCCTCTCGGGGCCAGTCATGGTCAGCGGAGGCATTGGGGTGAGAAGGAGACCTTCATAACTGTCAGCCTCTGGCATTCCCCTTCCCGGGGCTTTGGGTCCTGGGGAAGCAGAACTGAGCCTTCGTGTCTTCCTGGTTGCCGCCCTGATGGTAGAGCCCCCCAGGTCTGTAAACAAGGAAAGAAGGACCATGTAAGATGACTCAGGATCGCACTCTGGCACTGGAAGATTCTTGATGCATGATATCATGCTCAACAGATGATTCCAGTTAGTCTAGAAAAGACAATGACATTGAGTTTCAACGTGGTGGGGGTAGGGTGGAGGTGCATTGCCTCCTGACCCGAGGCCCCACATCTCCCTCTTTTTGCCTGCCCCCCCCCCCCCAAGGAGCTTTGCTTAGGCTCTTTGCACCATGTCACCACCCCAAGGCCCGAGCACCAATGATGAAGATAACCCTTGTGCCTTGTGTTGCCGGTCTTCCTGGTTTTCCCTACCTAAGGGTGCTTCATGACCTTCCATCATGAGGTATTGTAATGATAGCTGGGACCCAGACAGGGTAGGTGACTCGGCCCCTTATATAAAAAGGAAGGTTTGCCCTGGTGGTTGCTAGGTGGGAAGAATTTACAGCACCTTCCCCTCTCTTCTGAGCTTCTGCACTGCCTCCACAGCTGACAGGGCCCAGAGCTGAGGGGGGGAAGGGGCGCGTTCAACCGGCAGTGCAAGTGCACCCTGTGGGGACAGGCAGCGTGACAGGGTTATCTCACTTCCCATCTGGCTGTAAAATGAATGACTAACAGGCTGCTTGCTATTCTCCAGCCATCTCCCACTCCTTCCCCTCCCACCTAGGCTTTTGGAGTCACATGGGCATTAGCTTGGCTTGGCAGACCCATCCCGTGTGCTAAACCACCTAAACCTATCTCGGGGTGGTAGGTGAGGTGTGTGCTGCCCACATCATCATTTGGCCAACAGGCGCCTGGGATTCTGGCCTTTTTAACTTCCACCTTGCTGCAGGTTGGAGGAGGGGGGAGGGATGGGGGAAATGAGAGACACTGCCCCCCCTTTCCTGTTTTCTCTTAAGCCTCATGGCAAGTATCTCTCACCCCCTAGTGGTGATCAAGAGCAAAGCGGTCACTCTTGGACTTGAAGGTCTCCCTCACCATAGCCAAAACAATCGGCGCTAAACTGATGTGCAGAGCCATCTAATCTGTGCTTTCAGACCAGCTTAGCTCAGAAGTCTTTCTACAGTGACATCTTACTAGGGCATGCAGATACCAAGTTGATGAATATGGAGCCTTCGCTGTCCTTGCCCAGATTAAGGAGTCCAGTGGGGCCCCCAAGAGTGCCTGTGGTGGGCTTGGGAAGTTAAGTGGGCTGTGCAGGTCACAGAGCTTACTGGTGCCATGGCTACAACCCATTTCTCGGACTCCTGAGCCAGGGCTTGATTTTTAGGGCTTTTCTTGCACTTCTGATAGGAAGATCACACTGTATTCCTTAGTGGGATGTGGGAGGTAGCCTTGAGGAGCTATTCACATTCTGGTAAGTTATAAAGAGCATGAAGTCCACAGTCCAACAAGTCTTGACCTTAACCCTAGACCCAGGATTGAGCATTAGACAAGTCCAGAATTCATTGATTTGGGGCGTGTGGGTGGCTCAGTTGGTTAAGCATCTGACTCTTGATTTTGGCTCAGGTCATGATCTCTGAGTTGTGAAATCGAGCCCCAAATCTGGCTCTGTGCTGGTGTAGAGCCTGCTTAAGATTTTCTCTTTCTCTGCGCCCTCCTGTTCACACTCCCACCCCCGCTTTTGCATGATTATGCTTTCTCTCTACTCCTCCTCCCAAAAAAGAAAAAAGGAAAAGAATTCATTGATTCACCTGTAAAAGAAGTGTTTTGAAACAGATGAGTTTTACGTTTTTTGTTAATTAATACCTCACCACTACTACTTGGATGAGTAAGCAACCAATAGAGCTGGGATTCCCCTAAGGTGTGCCCCTTGCCTCCACCACTTCCCCAGGAGGTCATTTCAGAGGCTTCTAATATGTGGGCATTGTTCCTCAGCTCTGGGTGAACCACACCTGAGTGAATATGGGGGGGCACCTGAAAGGGAGTTGCCAACCTCTGTCTTCCATTCATCATATGGGGGCCCTCGGTTTCTCCCACTCCCAACAAACCAGCACGAGGCTTTGGAGACTCGATGAGGTCATTTCTGGGACATAGAACACAAGTGATAGCGAAAGATTCTCCAGGCGGCACAGAGCCCTCATTCTTCCCAGCAGTCTCGGCACGGTTGGCCTGCTGTCAGCATCCGCCTGTGTCCCAGGGATGCAGCGCAACCTTCCTCCTTGTGCCTGCTGATGCTGAACAGCATCTCCAACAGTCAGGATCACCCCTCACAGTCCCATAGAAGGTTCCTGGGGCCAAAACCGTGGTGGTATGACACTGATTGCTCACCATGAGCTGGGCGCTGTGCTTTTACATAGATTATTTTAGTCCTGTCCTCAGAACAACCGTATGAGGTGTAGGTATAATTATTCTCCTGATTTGCTGGTGAGAAGATGGAGGCTCAGCGAGGTCAGGTGACTTGCCTATCTTCACACAGCTGATAGGTGGTAGGACATTGGCCTCCCCATACTACACCCTCCAGTTCTTGGAGCTGATTGGCTCAAATCCTTCCCATGTCCTTAGAGAGTCTCCCTGAGTATCTTGCTGCTGTTGCCTCGAGCACTCCCTTGCTTTTGAGAAGTTTCTTTACTAGCTACCCATGTCGGAGGCACCTAGGCATTTAGAATGCACAGTTCTGTATTCGATTACTATGTTTACATCTGGTGAGGAGGGTGGGGATTAATCCATGCTTCCTGGAACAGTGACGACTTTGTAATGACTCTGTTGGAATGGCTCACTGGTCAATTAATTGCCTCTCACTCTGCCATGGAGGAAAGAGGGGTCTCAGAAGTCACCTCTTAACCATTCTGGTGGGCAGCGGAGGGTAGAGATAGATAGATCCTCGCTCATGAATATGCCTTCTGCACCAAGATATATATTGTTTGTTGGTATTTTTGACCAAGACAGGTAGAGATTTCTGAGAGATTTTTACTTGGCATTTTATTTTTGCTGAAATAAAGTAACATTAAGAGAAGAACTTACAAAATCATTTACATTTCTTTCGTCTAACAGTGAGAAAGTTTACATACATTTTCTGGGACTCCTCCTACTTCAACCATCTACATATGCGTATTTTTACTCCTATGTTTCCGGAAGGTTGTAGTCTTGATCATAGCACGCAGACATGGCATTTGATGTTTCTGCCCACTCCCTCTGCCCCAGTGGGTATGTTTGAATACTTTTCAGTAAAGTTACATAGCCAAAGTTGAAGGCTTCCAGGAGTGGCTGCATGGGTTGGGTGAAACTTTCCACGGGTGAGTGCAGAGGTTAGGTAACTAGAGCTAGTGCAAGGACATGACCCTTCAGCTGTTCTATTCTGGTGTTTTTCTTTGTGCTGTTTCTCCTACCAACAGAGAGGGGGTGTCCCTGAGTGTGGTCTTGGGGCAGCCCCAGAGGCCATGCAGAACTAGCGCTGCTCTGTGGACAGAGATGCCTTGTGACTTTGATGCTGGCAGGTGGAAACCATGCTCCATTCTGTTGATTCTTCTTTTCTTGGGAGTGGTTCTTATTCTAGATCCTCAAGGAAGAACAACATAGAGCTGGAAGGCACCTGGGAGATTAGCAAGACTAAGGTCTTCTAACCTTTTGACCCAAACCATGAAGAAAGAAATACATTTTATAGCACAGCTCAGGATATAGATAAATGTCCATCACACTGATACAATAGTTTCTCAAGACAATATTTACTCTTACTACATGATTACTTGCTGATACTTTCTATCCTATTCTGTTCAGTTAAACAGCAACAAAAACAAACTGCAAATGGATTTTGGGACCCAACAGTGAGTGCAACTGGAAGTTAGAAAAACACCGATCCAACCCCACCCATTATTTATTTATTTTAAAGATTTTACTTATTTATTCATGAGAGACACAGAGAGAGAGGCAGAGACATAGGCAGAGGGAGAAGCAGGCTCCATGAAAGGAGCCCGGTGTGGGGCTCGATCTCGGGACTCCGGGATCACGCCCTGAGCAGGGGGCAGATGCCCAGCCACTGGGCCAGCTACCCAGGTGTCCCTCAACCCCACCCTTTATCAGACAAATGGAATCTGGGTTTAGTGCTAATGTCACTTCCTTCAGATTTCCTCAGAGGAGAGCCTAGCAGGTGCTCAGGAATCTAGAGGAAGACCCTGGTTTGTTACTGGGGTGCGTGCAGAAGAGCTGCGCAGTGGCTGGCCTGGCTTCCAGCAGCTCTTCCCTGGCAGGGACAGCTCTACCTGGTCTGAGCCGCCGAGGGGCAGCTAGGCTCTTGTACACAGTGACCCCACTTTTGGGAGGCAGGGGACAGTATCCCCAGTATCCTCAGCATTTTCCTAGCGAAATAAGAAAGGAGGCATAGTCCTTCTCGCCACTTTGGCACCTGCCATATCCCGGGACCACCCATATACATCCCCTGGCTTCCAGAAGTTAATTAGTTTGCTAAAATTAGGAGTCTGTTTTGTGTGCAATTGGACAACAAAAGATAGGCACGTTATGAGGTGTTCTCTCTGGTCTGAGGCCTGGGACAGAGGAAAAGGATGGCCAGGGATATCCTCCTGTTCTTCCCTGCCAGATGCTCCCACCCAGGGCCTCTGTGGGCCCAAGGCCATGGGCTGGCTGCCTCGTCTGTATTATGAATGTCACAGGGGGAAGCTAACGAGGTTATTGGGCAGAGAAACAGTCCTGTGAGCCCATGTGGAGGAGACCTACAGCAGAGCAGGAGGCAGGGAGGCCGCCGTTGGCACCATCCAGTGGGGAGAGAAGGCACGGGAGGAGTCGGTGGCCAGCAGGCTTTGGGCAGAACGCGGCGATATGTGTCCCTCAAGAAGTAGAAATGGTGAGCGGCCTAAGGAAAGAAAGCCAAGGAGACCGACAGACTGACAGGCGGCCAGGCTTGCTCCGTGCATGGGATTCAGCCAAGATGGGAGGTGTGTGCATGGTTCAGTGATCAGTAGTGTTGCTCAGCACACCACTAACGTGACGCTGGACAGTGGGGTCATCTATAAAAGGGCTTTAATGGGATATGTTGCTTAATAGGGCAGTGGACAAGAAGAAGGGAAGGCATTAGGTTCATCTGTTTTTATAGTTTCAACCTTATGTGCCTGCTAGAATTTGAAGTGTGTGACCCAGGTCCTCCCTCTGTACGTCCCTCTCACTATCCCCACCCACCTCCGCCCTTGCCCAGCTCTATACGGGCAACTGCAGTAGTGCTAGAACCAGAGGTGACGCACTGGAGGATTTGCTCCACTCCAGGACTGACTAAAGTGAGTGACAGTAACCTCTCTAACATATCAGAACAAGGCACAGGTAAGGGCAGTGTGTCACCTCAGGGGTCTGCCCTTCCTCATCCACCATACGAGCACCTTCTCTGGTAGGAGTGTGGGTGAACTGGCATGTTACACCGACGGGACTGTATACGTGGGGCATTAGCGGGCATTAGGAACAGCAGCAGGAGTCAGGTGTGGGTGCCCTTATCTCTTCCTGATAACTGGGCAGTAGGTGATCTTGGTCACCCAGCCTCTTTGTGGGAACATGCAGGAAACTGAGGTGTTTGGTCTCCCACGCTGAGCCCTCACCGGCACACAGGAACATAGGGACATACCCTCTGTTTGCTTTTGGAGAAAAGAAAGTGGATGAGGGTTTGAGCTCCTTCAACTCATTCTCACTTTGTACTTCTCTTAGCAAACTGCTCTTTTTTTCCCCCAGCAAGAAAATGGGACCTTTGGGCCCAAGAGCTATACAACCTAAACAAAGCCATCCATGTGGTTAGGGTGCAGTGGCTAATACTGGGTGCTTGCCTTCTCTCCTTATGTTCTGAGGGTCTTGGACTGGAAGTTGGGAATTGTGTGAAACTTGGCCCTCATGCCCTCCATCCATTACTGCTTCTCTCCCCCACCCCCCTTTTTTTAAAAATAAAATAAAATCATCTTTTGTTTTGGGCCATCTGTCTTTTGACTGTCCACAAATAATAGGGGCAAGATTACATCAGGATTATCATTCTTCATATCATTTTACCTGCTTATACTTTCCCCACCTTCCACCATCTAGATCCCTTGGTCTGTCTCACTTGTACGGCGCCTAGGTTACCTTGTCTGGTCTTACCTCAGCCCTCCCAGCTCTGCTCGCTGTGACTGCAGAGACACTGCATTTCACTTACCTTCCTGCCCCTTGCACGTGCCAACCCCAGACAGGCTCATGGGGGTGAGGGGTTGGGGACATGAGTCCCCTCTCTGAAAATTACTCTGTGTATTCAGATAAGCTGTCCACCTTCCCTGTCTCAGTCTCTCCATTGGAGCTCTGGACCTGCCACAGTAATGGTAAATAAATAAAGGATATCTTGTGAAGGGAGACTCAGGAGAGGATGTGTCTGTAGGGTGAGGAGTCACCTGTGCAGCTGACCTTTCACCATCCTGTTTCTGAGGATCTTCAGGCCGGGGAGCCCCCAGATCCAAATTCTTCCTGTGCCTTGACCTTTTGCCTCTCATTCTCGCAGACTTTAAGTTCGCCATGTATCCGCCATCGATGATTGCAACTGGAAGCGTGGGAGCCGCCATCTGTGGGCTGCAGCAGGATGAGGACGTGAGCTCCCTCACCGGCGATGCCCTGGTGGATCTGCTGGCCAAGATCACCAACACGGATGTGGTAGGTGGACGCCATCTTCTTGGTTAAAACCAGATGTCTCTTTCCTCAGTTCAGGAAGAGACAGTTGGCTGGATGATGATGTGTTGGGAGGTATATTTTTTTCTTTTTTGGTGGTGGTGGCTTCTATTTTCCAAGATCAACATCCAAGGTAGTACGAAATTCAGTAGGTGAGGCTTCCTTGTAAGGGTTTGAAAGCCTCTGTGCCAGAAAATAGAGAAGAGAACCTAGCAAGCAGACACAAGGTGGGAGGAGGGCTGTTTACTAATTTTCCTTCGTGGTGTGGGCTTCCCCATGAGTCTGAATTGTTGTTTCATGTCCATTTATATACATGTCCTCAGGCTGCCTCTCCCCCACAGTGTCGTGCTCTGCTTACACCCACTCGGGCGGAGACACAGTGGAGAAAGGGACTAGAGCCGGCTGCTGCCCTGGGGGCGGGGGCGGTGGGGATCCAAGAGGTGCCCCACCTCTAGACCGGTGTCTGGCCTTGACACACCTCTCAGCCCCACCCGCCTCTCACTTCCCCTTTTGTTTAATGTGGTAATGGATTAAAAAGTACTTGTACAAGAATAAAGAGCCATCATAATTTAAGGAACTATTATTAGCTATAGATTTTTCCACCCTTGTGCCCCGTGGACTGCCCAGAGGATGTAGTTCTGCTTGCCAGAATTTGAAGCTCCTTAGAAGAAAGGTCTTGAGAGACCAGGGTCAAGTGAGGCTCTGATTCTGCTGGTAGGAGACTGCAGTCCTTTAAAGGTCTAAGCTAGGGTGGCTGTGAGAGGTCAGAGGGGCAGGTAGAGGCTTTCCATGAGAGGTGCAGAGGACTGGGGCACAGGGGGTAGGGTGGGAGCAGTAGCAGAGCTGGGACAGAACCTGGAAGTTCCAACTCCCTGTCTCGGAACGTTGTATTCCACCCTTGTTGTAGCTTCTGAAGCTTTTTGTTCAAGAAAGTCCTCTGCTTTTTAAAGGCAGTTGGAGAGGCTTGTCAGCAGGGAGGCCCTCATGTGGCACCACGGAGAGCATCAAGGTGCAGGGGAACATCACGAAGCGCCCCTCTGGATGTTCCAGGTAGCTCCTGAGTGCCCTGCTATGGGAATATATTGAGTTAGGAGATAGCGTGGCTTACCGGCCTGTGACTGATGCCCCATCCGGGATGCTGAGCAGAAGGTTGACAACTCAGAGTGAGGACCACAGCTTGCTGGCTCTCTCACCTTCCCACCTGCAGTTTGCCTTGGTCTTTATTACTGTCTTGAGGAAGTAGTGCATGGAAGTGTTGAAGGGCCTCATGGAACCAAACCCAGCGTTCTTAAATATGCTTTTAAAATTCTAGGTCCTAAGCATGGGCTTTTTTAAAAAAAAAAAAAAAAGGGCTCATACGACTATGTACCACCACCTGGTATCTAAAACGCAAATCGAAGAGACCCCTCCAGTGTGCTTCACGTGAAGAATGCTTTTCTAATCCTCCAGAGGCAAATCTTGGGACAGAACTTAATATTTATAGAAATGATAAGCTTTCTTCCTTTTCTGAACATCTCCTATTAAGGCTGCCTTACAAAAAGGACTCCCAACCAGCAACCAGCTTAAGACAAGCTCTTGCTCGACCCCCAGAGACAAAAATGTCAGTGACAAGAGTCTGACCCCCAGGCACTGTAACCTCTTTCAGATATTTATAGACCTGCTCTGATTGGCGGGTTGCCCCATGGGTCTCTGGCCTTATCGCCCCTTACTAGTTTCAGATGGACAGAGGTCACTACTGAGGTGCCACTGAGTCTCTTCCATTGCCTTTCCAGACTGCAAACCAGTGTCTCATCTTATGCTGGAGAAACTGCTTGCCCCTTTCAGATACAATGTAGCCAGTCCATCCAAGTTAGCTGTCAGTCGGGGTTCAACGGATACAAAACCCATTGGCTGGCTAGAGGGCTTCTAGATCCCAGCTGTTGAACTGGAAATGCATGTGTGCCTCACTCCTCCTAGTGGGCCTCCGGTTAAACATTTTAATATTAAAAGCTAAGCATGAACAGAAGAGAATATAAACCCCATAGCACTTTTTCAGATATGAGTTCCAAACTTTCCTCTGGGCCCTAGAGGCTTGCTCACTCTCCCCCTAGGAATGTTCTTAGTAAAAAGGCTTGAGCAGCATTGGGCTAGGCTGGCTTTCAAGTGCTATAGGTCTCCTCCCATCCATCAGGCTGTGTTCCCTGAAGAACTGAAGCTCAGAGTGAAGGAAAAGGACAGGACTGTAATTCAGAAAGCATTAGTATTGGAGAGAGGCACATTTTACTTCCTGAGCTCATTTGCCATTTCATGAGTCAAGAAGTGGTGTGTCTCAAGCACTTACTCTCCATTCATTTCTGGAAGCATTTATTAAAGGCTCACTGTTGAAGACTTGCATGATGAGCAAGGCCTGGATGGAACCAAGATAGAAACTGGGGCGGGTGCGTCTTGTATGGAAAATAGAGGAGATGATGTTCCTGACTTCAAGGAGCTTGGTGACTGTATGGCAAATCAAAAGTAAAGCATGCAAAATCCTAGCACGTGAAGATCATCAAGAAATGAATGCTGAAGTATTCATGATAAATGCAGTATAGGGAAGCAACCTGGGGGAGAGAGCTCACCAGGCCTAATGTGAAATGCAAGCCTCCTGGCATTAGCGATAGAAAATTCCCTTGGAATGGAGAAACAAAATGTGGTATGTATGTGCCATGGAGTGTCAGTCTGCCTTAAAAGAAGTGGAATTCTGACACATACCACAACATGGACGAGCCTTGAAAACATGCTGAGTGAAAGAAGCTGGACATAGAAAGACAAATGTATGATTCCACTTACAGGAGATACTTATAGGAGATGGTCGCGTCCGTAGAGACAGAAAGTCAAACGGGTTAGTTACCAAGGCCCAGGGGTTGGGAGGAGCAGGGAGTTATTTAACGGGTATGGAGTCACTTACGGATGACCTGAAAGTTCTGGAGATGCATGGTGGATATGGTTGCATCACAAAGTGAGCATCCTTAATGATACGGTGGTCACTGTTATGTTCGGTTTATTTTGCCACAATTAAGACACGCACGCATGCATGCACACACAATGCTGTCAGACCCACGCTGTGAGATGCCCACAGGTGTGTGCTGGGCTCTTCCATGGAGAGGCCAGGTACACAGGACCACATTGTGCCGCATCGGCTCTCGTGGAATGGGACTAGGGAACCGGAGCGCTGACAGGGTGCCCTGGAACCCCCGCAGTTCTGTGCGCACCCCGTGAGCCTTGTTATTTGTGACCTCTTCAAGCTTATGGTGTTTTCTCTCCATGCATCATCGGGATCAGACTGGTGAAAGAGGGTCCCCTCGATTCCTTTGAGTAGGCACACAAGTTTCTCTGGCTCACTGGCCGGCAGCAGATAGCTTTGATAGGAGGGACCCATGCCGCTCTGAGAAAGTTGGTCTTTGTTACTCCCTCTGGTTGCCAAAATAAACCGGAATGCTTCATTCCAAAGAGAAAGCTGAGTGAGAAGCCTGACAGTTTTACAGGGAATAAAAGTCTCAGAGGGTGGTATATTTTAAGTACTTTTTCCTTCTAGTCATAAGTGTTGCTAAAAACAGACGCCAGCCAGCGAGGCAGTGCTGGCTTTGGGGGAACTTCTACCGGGGTTTCCGTTGCCAAGGGTGAGTTTGAGAGGAGGGACCGGGCGTCCTGGTTCCCCGGTGAACCTTTCCCTGCTTCGCCAGGCAGAGTCGGGGTTCCTCTTCCGTCCCCTCGGCACTCGGCTGGTGCTTTGTGCCAGCGTTTATCTCACTGTTCACTTGTCTATAGAGCCTCTTGAACGGGAACCAACTTTTACTGCGCTCTTTATCCAGAGCCCCTGGCAGAGTCTTGGGAATGATGCTGAAGAGCGGGAGGGAAGCAGGAAGGAAGGAACGGAAGACACAAAGGCCAGGCAGATGGGCTTAGAGTGTGTTGCTCATTCTTTGGTCTCCCCAGGTCTTTCAGAAAGCCCTTAGATTTCTTAGCGTTAATTACATGCCAGGGTCCTGAGCAAAACATGTCACCTTCACACGACACAGTTTTACAAACTAATAAGAAAGCAAAGGTCAGGCTCATGGGCCGCGATGATGCTGTGAGGCTGTTGGGAGATATTCATTGGGAGCAGAGCTGGTCACCTGGTCACCGGATTCATCCTTTTCTACCTGGGTCACATCGGAACCCTGTCCCATTGTTGAATACTGCCCAGAGAAGATTCCAGAACACCCCTTCCTTAGGGGCACCCTGTTGTGTTAGGATCTTGGTTGTCAGCGGGTTGTTAGTATCCCATCCGCTGAGCCGTGGAGGAAGTCTCGATTTTGACTCCCTGCTCTTGTCTGGGTCCTGGGCACCGTGTCTTTGTTTCCCCCTCGGTGAGCAGCACAGACATGCTCCTGGCACACCTTCTCCGAAGGGCCCCTGTAGGTCTGGGGTTGTCCTTAGGGGACTTGACGGGGCCTGTGGTGGGGGACCTTGTGAAGAGCGGCTGGAGGGGAGGCTGGGGACAGAGAGGGGGACGGAATCGAATCACAAGCTCAGGCTTCCCTGTCCTGCCTTATTTCTTCTGCGGGCTTCATTTGGTATGCAAGGAAATAAGCCAAACAGCCTGTGAAGAAAGGAAGAATGAGATAGTTTCCTAAGTTGTCTCTGCCTGAGTTGGCCGCGGGTCTGGGGCTCATTCAGCCTTTGTCCCCCTGTTGAGTGCAGTGCGTGTGTGGTGACAATGGCGTGATGCAGTTACACTGAGGGCTAACGGTAGGAGTTCCGTCGGCCCATTCATGGGAGCCGAGGAGGGTGCAGGGCGCAGAGCCCGAGCCAGCACGCAGAGGAAGTCGGAGACCCGTGTCACGAGCTGGAGATCACAAACACTGCTGTCAGGGCTCTGGGGCTGGCGGGCCAGGGCTGGGGAGGGGGCCTATCATCATCGGAGTTGGAGGTTTGCCCGACCTCCAGCACTGTGGAGTGCCACCTGTCCAGGCTGACAGACGAGCATTATGGCTTTCCTTTTAATCAGCTTAATTTGGGGCATCTAAACACAATGACTGGTGCTTTCGGAGGCTGCAGGAAAGCAGAGGTCCCAGAGCCACAGCACTTTGCATGCACGTAGCATCTTTTCACTGGATGAGCTGTCAGTGCCCCCCACCCCACCCCAGCCACTTGGGCTACGTCTCCCTTCCTTGGAGATTCTCTGCCATATATGTCTGTCCTTAGAGCTGGGAAGAAGCAGAGGGTCTTAGGGGAAGGAGTTCTGAGGTTGGAGGCTTGCCCATTTAAAGCCAGGTTTAGCTTTTAACCCGATGTAACCAGGGGACAAGAGAGCTTCAATTCCATTCTCGAGCTGTACAGTGAGGGCATGCGGCTATTTGGGCTCCAAAAGCCCCTCGGACCCCCAGATACCCCGCTTCTGTCATTGCCTCTGCATGTCGTCTTGTGATTGTGTCCTTTGGAAGTACTATAATTCTCTTCTTCTCTGGCTTTGCCCCTTTTCTTTTCAGGCCTTTTAACTTGCCCCCCCCCCCCCCCCCGCGCCTTTATTCCCTTCTCTCAGCTTGACCTTCCAGCACCAGCAACCCTGCTGGGGTTGAGGCAGGTTCGTCTTCCCTCCAGGTCACCACTTCCTGCACCCCTGTCCCAGGCACTGTCCTGTCCTGCTGCTCAGGAGAGTTGGCAGGTACGGGCTGTGTGGGGCTGGCGTGTCTGGTTGCAGGTAATAGCACCACCACACATTTTCCTGTTCCTCACTTAACATCAGCTCATAGGAAATTCTCATGCCTTCTGCAAGTCCAAGAATGGTTCCTGACGATGCTGAAGGAGAGTATTAAAATACAGGGAGTGAGTGCCGTCTCAAGGAAGGGAGGTTGCTGAGTTAGTTCTGTCTCCACCATCACAGAGTGGACTGTCTGACACTGTTCATACAAGACAGGGCTTCACGCTTAGGTTTTTTTTTATCGAGTTAAGAATGGGCAATCTGTGGTTAAAACTCAAACTGACACTAGCCAAGCTGTGAAGAAGGGGAGCCCGAAGGAGGGTTAGGCACAGGCCCCAGAGAGCTTTCCAGGAGTGGGGGATATGATTGACCCCAGAGAGTTTTAGCTTCTTAGCTCTGTCCCAGATGAATCCAGAAGAGAGCAAAGGAATGGGGTCCAGGGTCCCTCATTTCTTGAGTAACTGCTGTAGTCACTTATCTCTTTAAGTAAGAGATACCTAAGATCAAGAGCTGGCCATTGTCAGTTACAATTTAGATCGAAGAATGTGTTCTACGTGAAACCTTCATTTTATTTGGGAAAACCAGTACATGTGTTCTTGGCTGGAATGTACATAAATGTGACCTTCGAGGCATGTTATCTTCAGTCCCATGGCTCTGAAAGTCCAGTAGAGGTGACTGCCCAATACCCCAGCCTTCCCTGTAGGATTTTTTCCAGAACTGTTTTTTGAGGTTTCAGGCTGCTGGAAGGGAAGGCTGAACGCCAGAAACAGAATTATTGGTGACCCCAAAATGGAAAACTCTGTATGGCCCCAGATCAGGTTCTTTTGCTTTGTCTCCTCATTTGGAGGACCATCTTTCTCAGGGATGCTGGTGTGGCTAATGTGGGGATGATCAAGGAGTTGGTCATATTTTGGGAGTGGAAGGTGGACTGACCCTGATGACCTCCCCATGGCACTGAAATAGAGCCTCTGAGGAAGGAAAGCTGGGCAGGATTGGCCAGGAGGTGCTGTGTTTCTTATTGGGGACAAAGGTCTTCTACACGACTTTCCCCAGGAAGTCTTCACCAAATGGCTGTGTCATATGAAGCTCTCTTGTTAAAGAGGCCTCATTGCTGACACCTGGCTGGCATCTCTTTTTGATTTTAGTGGTTCAGACATATTGTGTGTGTGTTCCCTCCCCCACGCCGGCCACACACACACACACAGTCTCTTTATCAGCGGAGAATCCTGCCATCCTCTTTATTTTTTTTTTCTGCCATCCTCTTTAGATAACAAAAGCTCTTTATGTCACACCTGAAACTAATATTACGCTGTATGTTAATGATACTTGAGGTTAAAAAAAAAAAGCTCTTTATGCCACGTGCTTGGATAGGATTGGTCTTCCACGGAGGCAAGCATGCAGCTACCATCCCTATGTGTGGAGGGGTTCTGACTCATTCCCCTTGCCTCCTAGAGAAAACATTTATTTATTTATTTATTTATTTATTTATTTATTTATTTTAATTTTTATTTATTTATGATAATCACAGAGAGAGAGAGAGAGAGAGAGAGAGAGAGAGAGAGAGAGAGGCAGAGACACAGGCAGAGGGAGAAGCAGGCTCCATGCACCGGGAGCCCGACGTGGGATTCGATCCCGGGTCTCCAGGATTGCGCCCTGGGCCAAAGGCAGGCACCAAACCGCTGCGCCACCCAGGGGTCCTGAGAAAACCTTTTAAACATGACCTCCAGTAGCTCCTGAAGGACCTTTGTAGTGGAGGGGCATCCCATAACAACGGGCTGGATTCAACTCATTATTCTCCACGAGAAAAAAGAGGAAAATAATATTTAAATTCTGCACCTCCACATTTCTCAGTGAGGAGTGCAGGGGGGGCCAGGGAGGGCGGAGGGCACCTGAGACCTGAGATAGGGTGTTTGAGGATGGTGTTAAGCCACCAACATGGCTTCTCGGAACAAGTCCCCTTCTTCAGATGGTGCTTAAATGGAGAACAAGCCAACTATTCCAGCTGCGGAAGGAAAACTGACAGTGGGCCCCACTGTCCATCTCTGATGCAGGACCTTCCCAAGGAACAGCCAAGAGTCATTTGCCTATAGTCATTTGTTCCCCTTGTTTACCCCCACACCAGCTTTGACTTTATTTAAGATCAATTTTCTTTAGACTGTAAGGTTTCAGGTTTCTGAAATCCTCTACTGAAATGGAAGTGCCCTTAGAAACATTATGCCTTTAGCCTTTACCCCCGGGCTTGTTGGGCAAGTGGTGAGTGACCTGGGGGCACAGCCCCTGGGGACTGGGCTTTGGAGGAGGAGCCCAGGGAAGGTTTCCAGTCAATAGTCAGGGGGTTAGACAGGTTGGGGGGGCAGTGACCAGGACATGCTACAGAAGTTTGAGAGATGATGCTGGGCCCTTGGTTGCCAGTGCTGGACTCCTCAGCTTTCTCAGGATGGCAAAGAGATCTCTGGGTTCCGTCTGTCTTCCACACTCCCCCGCTGGCGCCAGACACACAGTGCTCCTTCACCAATCTGGAGCAAATGCTTATCCATACCTTATCTTCAAGAAATATAAAGAATTCTTTCCGACTCCAGGACGAATTTGTTGTTATTCACAATAAATGGTGTTCATTTATTGAATTTAGCACCTTATATATATTAGCTCTGTTGGCCTTTACCCTATGAGTGTTTTATTTTACAAGGTGGGGAACAGATCCAAGAAGTGAAATGACCTAGCTGCTGCCTGCCAAGTGTGGTGGGTGCGTCGCAAATACTACTCTTCCCTCTTTGTTCATCTTACATTCTGGGCGATATTTCACCTCTGCCCTTAGCAATCGGGCAGCTGCTGTTCCTGCTCTTAATTTTCGTAAAAAGCTGTAGTTTGAAATGTGGAATGGACAAGGTAGGAATGGAAAATTTGGGGATATGGAAACTGTGTCGCTGAGTAGTTAAGTCCAACTTTATTTTAGAAAGTGGGAAAATAAAGATAATGCTTTTATGCTTGGCAAACCGTAGCCTCCAGGCAGTGAAAATTGCACAGTGAAATAAACAAAAGGGAAGCAAAGGTTAAGGTGAGGAAAGACCCAAGCAGAGTCCATTTAACATATTTTCCATATGTGTATACTGCTTCAGTGCAGAAAGGTAGCCTTCCAGAGGAGAGGAGGGAGCATAATGCTAAGAACGATATTCTTTAGTTCACACCCCACATCGTGGCAGGAACCAGCCCCTCCCAGTGACACCCATGAGTTGCCACATGCTCCTTGGCACGCCACTAACAGAAGCTTCTGCCTGGGGCAGACTTACTCTGAAATGTCCCTACCAAATATAGACTAATATCAAACAATGCTGCAAATTCTTACTAATTCCCAAAGTGGACAGCTCAAATGTCCTGAGTTTTGTCAACATTCTGGGTTGGGTTTTTATGAGAATTGAGGGTGGTGAGTAAGCAGAAAGAAAAAAAAGTTTTTCTTTTTAAGAGCTTATGTGGTTTCTGTGAGTACAGTTCAGTCCATTCTCTTCGTATCCATCCCTCAGGTGCTACAGATCTGTGGCTAGATCTGTGGCTCTGTCTGTGTAGTGCTGGCCTTTGCCTTTTCTCCGTCACCTCCCAGTGTCCACAAACAGAAAGCACCCGGGTGGGGCTTTGATTATCGGGTGCCGCACATCCACAAACAGCCCAGCACCTGGGCCAGATTGTCAGGTGCAGGCTGAGATTCGGCCATTTTTCAGCAAGCTCCGAAGCGGTGCTGATGCTGTTGGTTGTGGGCCCCACCTGGAGCAGTGTGGTCCTGTGGCCCTGCTCGAGCACCTCTCCTTTACTTTGTGCTTCTTTCTACGGGGAGACTAGCGTGTGGTGTGCGAGGCTTAAATTGTGTCTTGTTTTCTTCATGAATGCTCTGCACACTATTGATCTTCCTAACCACTCTGGTCTGACCCATTCTCCTTCTAGGACTGCCTCAAAGCCTGCCAGGAGCAGATTGAGGTGGTGCTGCTCAACAGCCTGCAGCAGTTCCGCCAGGACCAGGGGGATGGGTCCAAGTCCGAGGATGAACTGGACCAGGCCAGCACCCCTACAGACGTGCGGGATATTGACCTGTGAGGATGCAGTCGGGCCGAATGGGAGAGACGTATTCCCATCTGCTCTCTCCTTCTCTCTGGTTGTGTTTTGTTCTTTATGTTTTAGGATAAAACTTAAAAAAAAAAAAAAAAATTCAGCCCCCACCTAGAGCATATTGAAAGATCTTTTAGAAGTGAGAGAAAAAGGTCCTATAAAAACAGAATAACAAAAAAGCATTTGGTGCCTATTTGAAGTACAACAGAAGGGAATCCCTTGTATATGCGAACAGTTATTGTTTGATTATGTTAAAAGTAATAGTAAAATGCTTACAGGAAAACCTGCAGAGTAGCTAGAGAAAATGTACGCCTGCAAATATGGGAACAAATTAGAGGAGGCTTTTTTTTTTTTCATGTTATGAACTAGCATGTACACACCCCTTGTAGGATAATTTCAAGGAACTGCGTGTGCCATTTATGGCATTATTAGATTGCAAAGCAATGAACTCAAGAAAGAATTAGAAATAAGGGACACGATAGGGAGGGGAGTACAAAACAATCTCTCAACCTGATTGAACCATTTTGGAGGTAGAAGCACCTTTGCTCTCGACCACCTGTTTATTACTAAGTCAGGAGCATAGCTGAATCTCTAGTACGAACTCTTGCTGTCTACAGTAGCTGCTACCTAAAAAAATGTTTTATTTTGCCAGTTGGACACAGGTGGTTGGATTCTGGGTTTCATGTGTTTTTGACATCTTGCTTCTTCTTCCAAACGTGGTTCGTGGCGGACACCACCATATTTTTATCAAACAGGGCAATCTAGCTTTGGGCCATAACCAAAACTCCTATGAAATGGAGGCAGATGGGGAGCAAGGGTGGGATCTGGAATGGAATCTTTTCTCTATGGAATCTTTTCTCTTAATGTATTCAAGAGGGTAATGTGACCTTGGCATCCTTTATTAAAAAACTGATTTTTGGTGCTGATTGGCATGTCTGGTCCACAGTTTAGCATTGTTATAAACCATTCCATTCGAAAAGCACTTTGAAAAATTGTTCCCGAGAGATAGATGGGATGGTTTATGCAAGTCATGCTGAATAGACTCCTCCCTTCTTCTCCTGTGCTCCTCCCCTCCTGCCCCCAGTCACATGACTATTCACTTCTGGTATCTGACATTCTCTGTACACAGTTCTGGTATCCCTACCAGGACCCAAGAGACCCCCCTTTCCACTGACATTCCCATCACAACATTCCTCCAAAAAGCCTACAAAGATCTGTTATCATTTTGATGGCAAAGAAAGATCTTAATTCCCATCTATAGACTTCTCCTTTGGACATGGAAAGAAAAGTTCTTGCTGGTGCAGACAGACAGCTGAATATCAGAGTGTGGCATTTTGTTCCCTTTTCCGTTTTTCGTTAATTTCATTGCAAAGTTGTATTCAGCGTACTTGAATTTTTTTTCCTCTCCACTTCTTAGAGGCATTCATTTAGCAAAGAGGTTGGAGCAACAACTTTTTTTTTTTTGCACAATTATGATTGACAGGTAATGAAGCTATTAAAATATTTTCCTTTTTAAGTTAGAAAGAAAAATCAGAACAGGGCTGCTTTGAAGAATTATTTTATACACAGATTCTGCCTTGTTTCGTAGTATGAGGGTTGAAGATGGAGAAAAATCTAAGGGTCTCTTATTTTTCATTTTATTGTGTTCAGTTTTTTATGATTATTTTTTTTTTTTGCGCTGCTAAGAAGCTAAGATCATTCATTCTTATTCACATTAACAGTACCTAGCTGTAATGTTTCACAGAGTGTGCTGCTATTTTATAAACATTTTTATAATATATTATTTTACTGCTTAAATTCCAAGTCCTGAAGTAGATGGTTGAGATAGGAGTTCTTCGTACTGGAAAAGCCCTTCCATAGTTTTTCTTCTGGTAGCGTATTCATGGTTTGGGTTTTTTTTTTTTGTTTGTTTGTTTGTTTTTTTTTTTTTTAATCCTTTTTGGTTCTCTCTCTCTCTCTCTCTCTCTCTCTCTCTCTCTCTCTCCATATTCTTCAAAGACAGCATTCTTTACCTCAGGTTTACTGGACAAAGTCAATAGCTACAAAAGAAAATGATTCACATTTTTGTTTTCATAATACCTCACAACCACATAGTTTCTGCTTGGGAGCCGTTATAGTGTGGGGAAAGGAGAAGTTGGCGAGGGGGCCACAAGCCCTTCTCAGGTGGAGGGTCGGGTGGGTTTGGCCCTGGGGTCTGACACCCAGGGACCTCTTCAGTCATGAGGGTCATCAGGCTTCCATTTTGACTCCGGTATCCTCATCATGATGGAAAAAATACAATTGAACCACGGGATTTCCCCTCCCCCAACCCCCAGGGCAGATGTTCGGCACAAACCTTCATGCAGTGAACTAGGAAGTCATAATTAGCACTTAGGTACCAGGCATCAGGAGACAGGTTGAAAAGAGTTCTAGCTGGCTATTTGGAGATCATCTTGTGGCCCTTTCTTAAAACAGGGCTTTCATCTGCTTTTCTCTTTCCCCTCCCCTGATCTGGCCATCCCCAGTTGGATCATCTCCGAGACTTTTATAGGCCTGAATCTGTGGGCATATGAATCGGCAGCATGTAGGATCACAAGGGTTCCTTCTCCCACCTGTCTCTAGACTGCAGCAGGCCAGCCCCTCTGCTAAGTGGCACTCAGTGGTGTTCAGGCTTTGCATTGCATCGAATTGGCATGATTGGGAAACTAGGTCAGATGAGTATTAGAATGGTGGTGGGAGGGAGGTGGAGAGGCTGCGTCTACAGAGATGCCACTCCGGGTGAGTCTGTGTCTCTTGAAGTATGTTTGGAAGGGTTCAGGATTTGGCGAGTTAGTACGACCCTAGAATTCTAGGGAGTTTCTGGTAGGACAGTGGGTGGTGAATTCTGAAGTTTCGGAGAGGACAGCTGAGCAGCCAGGGTTTTGTCAAGAGCTCAGTGTGCATGGGACCCTCTTTCGGGCCCTGAGGAGTAACACGGAATGGAAAGGAGGCGCGGTCCCTAAAGTCCTTAGGAGTCTTGGAGCCTAAAGAAAGCAAGGTACAAAGTCACCTAACAGTGACTGTCCCTACGCTCAAACAGAAGCGGCAAATGAGAGAAGCTGACTGATGAATGAGGAAGGGAACAGGCCTACAGACTCTCCCAGTCTGTTTTCCTGGAGCCTGGGTGCCATTGGGGCCTTCTGATCTTTTTCTCCTTCTTTTCTTTGGGGCCTAGTGTGATGGGACGCGTTGCTGATGGGGAAGGTGCTAGGTCTTTTGGGTTTTCTGCCCTACCCCCTCCTTAAACAAAAGAAGGAAGCTTGGATTTGTTACAGTAGCTGATGCCCTCTCCTTAAATCTTGGTCTCCTTGCTAGGAGTTTTTGCATGAGAGGAAAGTCAGCTCTCCCCCATGGATTTTTCTTCTTTTTCTCACCTCCCACAAATGGGGTTCCAGGCCTATTCTGGTCATCTGCTACTTTGTTGTCCTTTTATCTGTTCTTCCTCCTCTCTGGGCTTTTGGTTTTTGGTTTTGGGGTTGGTTTGTTTTTTGTTTTGTTTTGTTTTACTTTGTTTTTGGTCATTGTTGTTAACTGTTTTTCTCCATCAGTGGGGGCTAAATTGTTCCCCTAGCCTGCCAAATTTTATTCCTTCCCCTATTTTGGCCAAATCCCAGGGGGGGAAATCCTAGTATGCCAAAAATATATGCTAAGCATAATTCAATTCCATGCAGGTTCCTAAGAGCCAAGAAGCCTGCAGGTGGAAGCAGGGGACAGGTCCCTCAGTAGAATGTCTTCCCGTGTTCAGCGGAGGGATCCTCAGAGAAAGGGGCTTGTCTTAAAGGAGGCTTTATTCTGGAACTGCCCCAGGACCCCACTGAAGAGCTCACCATGTCTTCTAGTCAGATCCCCTTTGGTCTACGTGCTCTGTACAAGAGGCTCTTGTTTTGCTTCTTTTCCCAGGCAGGTCAGGGCCATGCATGGCTCAGAGGAAGCAACCCTGACAGCGTTGCACTGCATCCCTTTGCCAGCAGGATAGGCTTCTCTTCAGAGGGAGTTGTAGCTTTCCTGTGGCCTGGCACCCTCTGGGCCTTTCCACACTGCCCCCGGGGGGAGCTCTAGGACTGCGGTGAAGAGCATTAGGCAGGATTGGATGACTTTCTCAAAGAGGGTGGGGGTATTTTCTCTCCATGGGCCACAGGGGGCAAGGCTGGGAGAAGAAATAGACTTGCACCTTATATCATGTAAATAATGATTTTCTAGTTCAAGAAGATAATATTGGTAGTGTGGTAATGGGTGGTAGGAATGGGGAGGAAGTCTGAGTAAGCCTGTTGGTTTCTATGCCAAAAGGATTCCTCTTTGTTTATCTTTGAGACAGTCCAACCCTGAGAATAGCTTTAAAAGGGAAATTAGTGCTGAGACAGTAAAGTCCCCCTAAGCCGACAAACTGTAGCTATAGAATGAGTGCAGGCTTCTATTGGTGTGGGCTCGGAGCAGCTTGTAAGAGCCACTCATGCTGTCATCCACTTGTACAAAATAGGGCAGGAAGATTCAGGAGGATGTTTATGACTTTCTCATACCATGTGGCTTTTCATGATTCTGGATTCTAAACAACCCAGAACAGTCCTGTAAGCTGGAGCTATTCTCATACAGTTGTGTGTCTCTGCTTTTAGACTTGGCTGGACTATCGGACCCGATTCTTGGCTCAGGTTTCAAGAAGCCATCAGCAAATGTACACATGCACGCTGTAGTTGCAACGTTTATCCCTTTGCCTGCAGCCTCCTTTGGGGAAAAAAGTGCCTTACTGACTGTAGCCATTACAGTATCCAATGTATTTTGACAGGTGCCTGTCCTTAAAAAAAAAAAAAGTTTTTGTTTTGTTTTGTTTTTTTTTTTAATTGGTTTTTGTTTCTTACTGTTGGCCAACTCTTAAATCCCCAGCAAATCACTGGGCCATTGGATTTTTTCCATTATGTTCATTACCCTTGTACCGTGTACCTCAGATCTCTTTCTCTCTCAGTTACAGTTTCTCGTCTTGGACTTCTTTTATTATTATTATAATTTTTTTTTGCTTTAAAATGAGTGTGATGCCATATCGAGTCAATGTTATTCTCTCACAGTGTACTCTATAAGAGGTGTGGGTGTTTATTTGGTCGGGATGCTAGCAAGTGCTAAAGTAGCATGATCGGTATAAGCAAAATGTTTTTAGGAAGTATGGAAAAATGTTTTATTGGTTATGATGGTGACATGGTATAGTCAGCTGCCTTTTAAGAGGTCCTGTCTGTTCAGTGTTAAGTGATTTTTAAAAATAATGGCCTGTTATTCTGACCAGCTTAAAGATGGATTTGCAAATGGTTTTGGATGCAATTAGGTTATGCTATTTGGACAATAAACTCACCTTGACCTAAATTTTCTGGCCACTTTGACTTATTTATAGACCGGCAGCCCTCAGAATAGAACGCATTTTCTCATGTCAGAACTCAGATTGGCAACAATTGGTAGTGGCATAAAACAAATCCTAACCTGGAGGGTAATCTACATGTGTATATGTGTTATTAAAAACAATTGGCAACCCTTTTTTCTCCATTTTGGGTCCCCTGGGGAGCTGGGCCATAAACTAGAAGCTTCAGCCCACCTTCCTGAGGTGGGCAAATCCCTGCTATTACGACTGGGCTTAGTTCCTGATTATTGCCAGCTATTCATTCTTGTTATGAGTGAGTATTTCCTGCCTTGGGAGGTGCCAGAGGCACTGGGTGCCATCTCCAGATTCTGGGCAGTCTCTGGAGAACTCTACGTCTGTAGGTTTCTTGGCTCCAGTCTGCCACTCTTCACAGCTCCCACCTGATTCCTGATCTGGCCTTTAACTCTCCTGTGAGGACTGGGCCATAATTACTCTTGGGGGAGGAGTGGTGAGACAGAGCCTAGGAAGAGGGTAGGAGAGTCAACACTTAAATGAATTGCCAGGCCCTGGTCCTAGCTGCTTGTGGACCTCAGCTCCTCAGACCAGCCTTTTTCACAAAAGTGATGAGTAATGCAAAGGGCAATGGCTACATAGCCATTTTGATGTGCTATAAACATTCCTGCTTGGTAGAGTTCTCTGTCTCTCTCAGAGGCATTGGAGGCTGTTTCCAGCTTATTTCTGACCTGAACTGCAACAGTAATATTAATACTGGTCATTTGGAAAGTCCAGATTAAGACATTGCCTGTTAAGTAACTCCACTAAACAGGATTTCTAATCATACAAGGACCCTAGAAATTTTCCTTTATCTCCATCCCCCACTGACAGTCACCAATGGTGACAAGCAGGAATAGCTTTTTTTCTTGAGTTTCTGCCTAGTGGAGTCTGTGAGGTCTCTTGGGAGTTTCCAATGACTCTGGTTGCCACTCTTAACCATCCATGGAATTCTCTTCTGTACGACCTGACCTGTTGTACAGCTGGGTCCCTCCCCCCTCTTCCCCCAACTGTTTGGCCTGCAGTATTGGTGCCTATCTGTTACTAACACTACAACACCACTCCTTCCAAATGCCATCCAGTAGCCCCGCAGGCTTCTCCCATTCAGAACTGTGGATGTTTAAGGGTGGGAAGGAAACAAAGCTGGCACTCCATTCCCCACAGCTGGCTAGTGACAAATATAAGGGCCCCTTTACATGCTCTTTCAGAGGCATCTCATCATACACTTGAAAAATCTCAAACCTGAGGCAAAGACAAAAGTGCCCTTTCTCAAAGTGGAAGGAGCAATGGAGTGAAGAACTAGAAATACCAGGTCTTTTGTGCTCTACTGACTACTTTCATGTTTCTTACGACTTTCCTAAAGATCAGGAACTTTTATGCAGTACACAGAGGTAACACCAAAATAAAGCATCCCAGTTGGCTTACTAGTACTGTCAACACACTGCCATGAAACGAGTATTCAAAACTGAGTATCACACCTGATTTTTTCTCCCCTGCTATTATGGTGCAGGTGACAGGATGGGTTTCCCCAAGCAGATGAGTTTTAGGAAAACCCTTCTGGTGAGATGCAGCACAGTTTGAACACAACAGTAGAAACAATTTGACCTTGTCCAAAAATAAAGGGATGGGAAATGGATGGGTAATGCAAATTAAAAGTGAAGGGAAAATATTCAAATAGCTTGACGAACATACATAATATAACGAATTTGAAATGCTGCAAACAGACATTATCCTCACAAAACAGGATGAACTCAGCCACAAACACTAATTTGGGATTCCCACCCACCTAATTCGTCCTAGGCTCAAAGAACTAAGGCTGGTACATTCCAGAGGATGATTGGTGGCTTTCACACTCAGGGCCCTGGGGGCCTCCCCCGCACGGAGGACAGAGGACAGGCAAGGTCCATCAGCTCTAACTGCAGGCTCAGTCAAGCAGCCCTAGTGGCCTGAGAAGGCAAGGCAGAGGTCGGCTGTCCCCTCTGACCCCATCTCAGTATCCCCCTGGAGCTTTGAGTTTCTGATTATCCAAAACAAGGCTTCCATCTCACTTGTGATTTGCCTTGGCTCTCTCTGACACGTCACCCTCATCCCTGATTACCCTCGGGCCCCTTTGTGGAGTCAACAGAGGTCTAAACATGCGGTGCTTCCTGGCAAGTCCACTAGGTGGCGCTAACACCCCAGGTGAGAACAACTTACAAACTGATCCCCGCACAGCCAGGTGCAGGAAGACTGCCCAGAACCAAGTCCTCTCTCTGGCCCCGGGAGGGCCCAGCGGTTCCCTCACCTGCTTCTCTCTCAGTTACTACTACTACGACATTCTGACTCCATCTGGGAGTGGTTGGTGGGATTCATGACTTCTCGTTCCTCTCTGTGATTGGCCAACTGGCAGCCTGCAGACATACTCAGCTGGGCGCCCACTGTGATATAAGTTGCCTTGGACTTACTTGCTAACGTAAGATGAGAGCTTTCACATACAAGTCAGGATTTTAACTACTCTTGGTAAATCCACGTCCTGGCAACGACCGGCCTGAGGGGCAGTCAGGGCTGCAGCCAAGGATGGTCTGACCCCTTCTCTGCTCCCCAGCACCCACTGAACCTGGTTCACTCATTGACATCACTTGCGTGCCCCCTACCGTGCTTGCAGCTCTGCAGCCTCTGAAATGTTTCTGTCTTACCAGTCTGCTATGAAGTAGGACCCCCTGTACACCTCAGGTGGAGCAGTACAGGTCTGGGACTCTCCCTCCACTTTTTTGCCCCAAATACAGACTACAGACCTCTACTCCTCATGAGGCTTCATAATATCCTTTCCCCCTTTATGGGTTTTTAGTTATCAGATACCTGGGTGCTGGGCCAGATTTTTGAAATTCCTTCCAGACCCTAGTACTCAGTCCACACTGAGGTCTGCAGGTAGGCCAGGGGACAGGGTTCAAGATGAGCTTTTTCTCTGTTTCTGTAGCCACTTTTCCTTCTTGTGGTATCTCAGTGACCCCACAAGAAGATGCACCTCTAAGATTTTTAGATCTGTTGATACAATACAAATCCCGTGGCTATTTCAGTGATCTTGTCCATTAAAGTGACATGTAGGGCTCCCCGGCACTGCTCATTCTTCCAATAGACTGTATAGGGCTGGTCAGATGCCAGGCATTCTGCACCAAAAACCTCATTCAACAAATATTTCTTCAGCATCTACTTTTCCAGGAACAACATCCCTGCACTGCTTGATCTCAATGGTCAATGGCAGAAACAGACAAGTCACAGGACGCCTGCTACTGAATGTAGTGGCAAACAACACAGCACTCTTGCAGGCTTCCTGCTCTGGAATCCCCATTGGTCCACTACACTAGCTTTGTAGTGAGCCGGGTCCTTCATCTTTGAAATGGGGCAAAATAATAATAGTACTTCCTGAGTTAATCCATTTGAGCGCTTCAGCATGCCTGGAGCTTGATAAATGCTAACAGTCCTCAGGCGAAGGTGGCATGTGAGACAGGCACCTAATTCAGTCTTTAAAAATGAATGTCACCGGCAGGTACCAATTGTTTACCTACTCAACCCAGCCAATACGGCAGTGAGATAAGGGAGATGTTTTAGTTGATTAGCATTTTGTGGTTTTAAAGGAGTCCTTCCCGAGCAACCTGGGTAATCCACACAACTGTCTATGCATCTGATACTTCATTTTGTGATGAAGTGTCTGGAGGGTCGTGCAGCTCAGGGTAAGTTATCAGAGTTGGACCAGAACCCAGCTGTGGCTGACTTAAATGGTACGTATCCACCCCCCACCCCACCCCCACCCCCACCATACTGGGCTGCTTGATTTATTTGCATTTTGCTCACTGAGGATTGAGCTGAGAGTGTGAGGCTTTCAGCCAGGGTAGGGTGGACTGCAGGATACCACTTGTTAAAATCACCCAATGGAATGTCCCCTTCAATGAAGACAAGATCCAAAAAGAAAAAAAAGGGCCTTGAAGTCTAAGGAGAAGTGTTTGGTGGATTTAAACTCTGAAAGTGGCATTTTTGCCTTGCCTCTAAACTGAGAAGCAGTGATTCTGTTCAGGTAGGTTCCTCTCAGTACATGTGGTTTGTAAATGTGTAGCCACTATGATTGTCCGCCCAGAACTCAGATGTGTAGGGATATAATTATTTTCCCCTAACTAGTTTCTACTAGAAGAATCTGCCTTTCAGGCCATTCAGTGTGTCCTCCGCCTTCCCAGGTTTGCATTCTCCTTTAGGTTTGCCTAGCCCCAGCCCTCAGGGTGGGATGGAGGGGAGGGGTGGAGATGTGATCCTCAGGCCTCCAGTTCAAGCCTGCAGAGCCCTTTCAGGATCGATGACGTTGCATACTGACGTAAGTAAATTCTTAGTCTCCTGGTCGATATTTGTAGCCATTAGAAAATTCGAAGTGTGTGAGCATTGGCCACTCCGTCGCAATCTTGCTATCAACTTACAGTGAAAGCAAAGCTTGGACTAAATTTTGCAGCACCTCCATACAGACATTAGCTGACACAGCAGGCCCTAAATGCTTAATACCTTCTGTCCCCCAGTGCTGTAATGGCACAGGACTCTGTCTCTACTGACACCTTGCATGAAGGTTTCCTTCCTCCAGGTAAATATTCCAAAGCTAGGATTGATTCTCTTTAGAATCAGAAACAAGTGATCAGAAGGCCTCCCGATCCTATGGCTGGACAGAAGACTGTTTAAGATACGAGGTGCTGGCTATTTATTCAGCGGTGAGGAGTACCTCTGAGATGGCTTCGGCTGGCCAATATACCCATCTTGATTTCAGGGAGGCCCAGAGCTAACTTGCATTGTTATCATTGACAGGTTGTTATTTTCACCAATACAGCCTCATTTCTTAAATTCAGGACGCTAATTAAAGTATCCATGATCCGTCAAGACACCGGTAACTGAAGTTCCTGTGGACTATGATTCTCCCTCTGGACCACCCTTAGACTGTACATCC